ACCTGGTTTAGTGGGGAGGTGTCCCTGCCCATGGCAGGGGGGTGGGACTAGATGAGCTCTAAGGTGCATTCCAACCCCTAAAATTCTATGATTCTATGATTTTCAGAACACTTCCCTTTACTGAGGGATCAGCATCCTGGGAGAGCTGCCCAGCACCTGTGACCTGCTCTGTACCAAATGGCCATGCACAGATTTTTCTGCCTAGTATTTCATAATGCATACAAAAGTACACCCAATACGACACTCAAATACGTGATTAAGTTAAACATCTGTAAGTTCCAATTTTAAAGTTGCCATTAGCATTTGATTTGAAATTGCTAAGTGTTCTGTGGACACACCTATTTGCAATTGCATGGGCTTTCAAAACCATGATCTAATATATTAATTGACAGCTTTGTCTGAGCAGAAAGTTTTCATAGACTTGGTTTAGTCTTCAGCCATTTTTTTCCATAATCATAGTGGGACTTAAAGACAATGTGGTAGTAAAAATGATGGTACAATATTAATTTTCTTCTTCATTCTTTGCAAGTAGGACATTCAGATTTGCACCCTGGACTGGCCCAGCACTGCAGGAGAAATAGTCTGGGATTTGACCTTTGCCATTGTTTTTTTTCTAATACCAGGATTAATCATTGTCATCAGTTACTCCAAAATCTTACAGGTATGTTTTCCCTTTAAATTTTGTTGTAGAACAAAGGGAATTAAACAGTAATGCATCACTAGGCATCAACATATTGTCACTGAATGCAACTATACCTAAAGGGAACAGACATAGTTTGCTCAATAAATGATACATATATGATTTAAAATGAACCACTAGCTAGCACTAGCAGTAGCAGCCCAATTGAATCCTGGGCTGCATCCAAAGGAGTGTGGCTAGCAGGTCAAAACAGGTGATTCTTCACCTCTTCTCTGCTCTCGTGAGACCCCACCTGGAATACTGTGTGCAGTTCTGGTGTCCTCAACATAAGAAGGACATGGAACTGTTGGACCAAGTCCAGAGGAGGCCACGAAGTTGATGAGAGGGCTGGAGCATCTCCCCTATGAAGACAGGCTGTGAGGAAGTTGTTGCTTTTCAGCCTGGAGAAGAGAAGGTTTCATGGAGACCTCATAGCAACTTTTCAGTATCTGAAGGGGCTACACGGGAGCCAGAGAGGGAATCTTATTGGGAACTGCAACGATAGGGCAAGGAGTAACAGGTTCAAACTGAAGGAGGGAGAGTCTAGGCTAGGTGTGAGAAAAATGTTTTTTACTGTAAGGGTGGTGAGACACTGGAACATGTTGCCCAGGGATGTGGTGGCTGCCCAGACCCTGGCAGTGTCCAAGGCCAGGCTGGATAAGGCCTTGAGCAACCTGATCTAGTGAGGAGGTGTCCCTGCCCAGGGCAGGGGGTTGGGACTAGATGATCTCTAAGGTCCATTCCAACCCCTAAATTCTATTATTCTGTTATAATCTGTGCATAACAGTCTATACATTTCAGCTAGGAACATTCTTGAACAGCACATTATCAGAGGCCCAACACAAAGTTTGTCTTCATACACACAAAGTATTCAATAAACTTCTCCATTTATGTGCTGTTTATGTGCTGTCAATCTCCTGAATGGTGGAAGAGTCAAGCATTTGAAATAACTAAATACTAGATTTTGCTTTTCTTGAGCCTGAACTCCAGTCATAAGGGATTTGTAAGAAAGCAGAGAGGCAAGACCAGAAAAAAAATCCATCCACTTTTTGATCTACTGTCTTTCTCCATGTATTTTTAGTACACAGATCTCTTTAGATTATACTTAGTCCTCCACAATTTCAAACTTTGCAAACAAAACCTGTAAATGAAACCATCTGCTTCCAGTTTCTTTCTAAGTGGATGTTGTTTAACTGCTGGAATACAGGCCAAGACACCCAGCATCACAGCATCTTCTAGTGAAGTAAAGCACCTGCTTTTTCCAATCTCACATTTGCTGTAGGCAAAGAGCATAGAGTAACTCAATGGGGAGCCTGAGTCCTTTGGAAGAACTGCAAAACACTGCAGGCCAAAGAATGCCACAGGCCATGGTCAGAGAGCAGGACAGCAATGGTGTTCCTCTTGTCCTTGCAGACTCTGGACTACCAGTAAATTTAGAAAACAAAATGGCACATAGGGAGCTAGAAGCCAAAAAAGGTATTTGAAATACTGGTTTATAAGAGCCCCACGCTGCCATGCTCATGTTTCTTTTCCAGCTCGTTAGCAGAGATGCTAAAATGCATTACCATTTCTCCTGAACTAAAAAAGGCATGAGGCCCATAGCAGTATATAATTGAATCTTCTCTCACACACAGCATTCCAGGAGGCAACCAGAACTCAGCTGGAGAGTGTCTCAATCCCTGAGTCATTCCCAAGAGCAGATTCACTTTGTGAGAGCGCTCCGTGATGCCAGTGCACACATAGCACAATGCTCAGTGTTGCTGGAAGCAGTTCAAAGCATTCATGTATTCACATAACAGCATCTGTGATGATGATGATTGACTACAGATATAAGACCTCAAATTTGCTAACCAATATACTCTACAAATGTATACTTCACAAATAACTCTGAGCATTATTTTTATGTAACACTTCCCACGACTCTAGCAAAAATGACAGATTATAAACCATGATTTGTAACTAAGTTATTTGCTTTGGCACTGTTCTGCCTTTCAGGCAAGACTTAGACAAGAGGCTAGAGTTAGTAAAGATGTCTGTGTTCTGGAAGTTATATACCTGACTACTATGTTCCTGTTTGACCAGACACTCTCAAGTAGGTATCTAGATTCTATACACTGGGCAGACCAAAAAGGGATCCACAACATAGCACTACCACCCCATTTCCATTGACCACTTCCTTAAGATGCATTTGCTTCTTATTTACCACAATCCTGGTGATTCTTGCATTCTTATTTCTAGGCTGTGCAGCTCCTGCAGGAAAGACAAAGAGTATTTATATAGGGCAGATAAAAATGTGTCTGATGACGGCATTCTGTAGCAGTTTGAGCAGTGGAGGCTGAGGAGTGTACAGAACCTGGTTTTCCCACTTTTATATTGGAAGTGGATATTAGTCCTGTGTATTTTGTGAAACCTTCATTCTTACTAACATAGATTAGGTGCTCTCTGAGAAGAACTCTTGGATTGGACTGTTTGGGGGAGTTAGCCTATTTTCTTGATTCCACATGGGTACAGCAGAAGATCATCAAGCTGGAATAGTTTTACATGCTCAAAACATCAGAATTCTCTGCTCCTTTTAAATCAGGGAAGCAGCTGCTGAGTCTGTCCACTTCTCAGGCTCAGCAGGTGCTGAGATGCCCATTATTGGATCTTGGGTCTTGATTTATACACCTATATTGTGTTGAAATCCTTGGAAGATGTCTAGGTTCTTAATGAGTATTTATTCTAAGCCATCTATCTCTGTGACAAATTGAGAAAACTGCAGAAAGAATGACAAATTACTCTCTAAACATTTTCATCCTTACCTGAACCAGGAAGTTACTAAGTATTGCTAGTATTAGTGTTATCCTTCCTGTGGTGTTTGCTACAGGGAAATGGCACACATAGAAGTGGCAGTAAAAGTCTTATGCCTTTTGACTTTCCTACTTAGACAGCAAATTGATCAAGGTTTTAGAAAATACCCCTTCTTTACCCATGCAGGGGATAAAATGGCATCTCTGTTATTTAGCATAAATGTTTGTTTTCTAAATATATGAGGGTTGCTTGGTTGGGGTATTTTTTTTGCATCAGATATATGAATGTAACAGACTTAATTGTGCCATGCCAACTTCCATCAAGACAGGGATGTAGAGCATGAGATTTAGAGTTTTCTGCAAGTTGCTGGGACTGAATATCCTACCTAATGACAGATGATTCACATCCATGAATACCAGATTCCCAAACTACCCATAGTCTGGTTTACTACCTCAGAAAGTACTTTTGCAAGACACAGATTTTTATAGTGACAAAAGGATCTGTAAGTTTTCTCGTTAGTTCATAGAAATCAATTCTGATTACTGACTGAAGAACTAAAAGTTGACAAAAAACAACATACAATCTCATTCGCATTTGAAATGTATCATCATTTAGTTACTGTAATAAATTCATGCTCCTTCTAATACCTACCTTATGATGTCAGCATGGCCGAGAGAGGATTGGATTGCATTCCTTCTTGCACATCAACAGGAGTGTTAACTGTGTTCCATTTTGCATTTGTGAAGAAAAAACAATGGGTTTCTTTAGATAGAACAAATGAGGTCATAATTTGAATGTAATGGGATTTCATGAGTAATTAAGGCTCTGTTTTTATGCTGAAAAGTATTTATGACTGGTAGAGAGCCACGAGGAGAATAACCACCTTAACTAATATTGAGGTGTGTTCACAGCAGAGAGGGAAAAGAACTTCCTAGTAAAGTGAGAATGTTTGAAATGGAACCATTGGCAAAAAGTACAAGTGGAATTCTGCAATGCCTTTTGTTGTAGTTACTTTTCCAAAGGAAACAGAAACATCATGTGCCAAGATTCATGTTTTGACTTGTAAAAGTGTATTTAGAATTCGATGTTTCAGTGAAACTTACTTTCTTTTCTTTTACTGCAGATTACAAAAGCATCAAGAAGAAGTTTAAATGCTGGCTTAGCCTACTCACAGAATCATCAGATACGTATTTCCCAGCAAGACTACAAACTGTTCCGAGTCCTCTTTCTGCTGATGATCTCTTTCTTCATCATGTGGAGCCCAATAATAATCATTATCTTTTTAATTTTAGTTCAGAATTTCAAAAAAGATTTAACTATTTTGCCATCAGTTTTCTTCTGGATTGCATTATTCACGTTTGCCAACTCTGCTGTCAATCCAATTTTGTATAATGTTGCCCACTTCAGACGTAAATGTCAGGAAATTCTTCTCTGTTGTACAGGGAACCCTGAAAGGCATCGGGCAGGTACAGAAACCACTGCAAGGAGAAGTAACCATGAACAGCCACATTTGTCTTTCATTACCAGATAATTATTGCAAGTCTGAGTTGTGCCACACTTTGGGTGTTGTCTACACTATCCCAGGTCAAATAGGTCACTGTGTTATAGTATTATGTGCCAGAGAAAGGGGGAAAAGAACAGCTAAGTGTGTATCTTTATTTCCTGCAGGTGGATTTCTCTTGACTTCATTGCTTTGTTGCTGTAAGATTGGGACAAATTAATCCAATGGATTGAATTTTCCTCTTACACCAAAATACATAAGAATATGGCAGTGAACTTGGTGAATGTTAAATAGTTAAAGTAAACACTTGCCAGATGAATTCATTTCTATCAGGGTATATTTTCAGGTGGCATAAATGTAATTGACTTTAATGGAGTGTTGGTGAATCTATAAGAGGGCACCTGATCCATTTTTATTTTGTTTTCTACTGAGTAAAAGAGAGAAAGTTTCTAGTGAAAATGTACATCCTCAGAAAGTATCTGCTTTTTTTTAAAAAAATCACATTTTAAAAAGCAACTTGAGTACACACTTAGATTACTGACTGCCTGAACATAGGTTTGAGCACACTAACCAATTTCCTGTAGGAAACAAGATGATAAACATGTTTTATCATCAAGTGAATGACCAGCTTGTTTCCATCTCAGAAATATGGACATAATGTCTGTTAATTTATAAATAAAGAATAAATAAATGGTTAACTGTCATGTGCAAAATAGTTCTTTTAAAAAGATGCATATTTTTTATGCCTGCAGTAGTAAGGTTAATCAGTGATATATTGAATCATAGAATTTAAGGGTTGGAATGGACCTTACAGATCATCTAGTCCCAACCCTCCCTGGCATGGGCAGGGACATCTCCTCACTAGATCAGGGTCACTGAAATTCCTTTGTCTTCTCCAAAAGTCTATTGGGAAAGATTTCCAGTATTTCCAAGGAAAAAATACGGCATTGCATTTGAAAATAAATTAAAATACATATGTTTTGGTTTTTATGCTTAATACTCTTTTAGTCAGAAATCAAAAGCACTAAAAAAGGAAAGATTGAATTGTTCATTATTGCTCTCTGTCACCAACTCAAAGCAGAGCACTGAGACAAAACCAATGTCTATATATGTACAGATTTGCATGCAAACAATTTGCATCCCCTGTAATCCAAGTTTATTAAAATGTTTCATTGGCTTATTAACAAGGTGAGCTACTCAGCTCAGATAAATATATTCCAAATCTAAACGAAGCCATTTAAAACGTTTTCCAGGGGACACATGATCAATGAGTTGCCTTTACATCCATGGTGCTGTTCCATGATTTCTTTCTTTGGATCTCCTTAAGAGCAAAATCCTGAAACACATAAAACCAAAAATTTTGGTTTTCAACCACACTAGACAAAATTAAAATACACAAACTTTCACCAAATTTAAAGTGCATACATATCTAATATCTTCAAGATGCTCTTGAGTCCAGCAGGCTGTTTCTTACAATGATCACACTATTACCTTGTTCTGCAGTTTATAATTCCAAAGATTTTTCAACTCAGAACAAAACAGGAATTTAGCCAATCTGTTATACCTGCTCTGAGCATTTTAATACTTTGGCAAACGAAGTACTGGACAGAGAAATAATAAAAGAGTTATTTATTTACTCTAAGAAGCTTCAAATTATTTGCCTTTTAAAAATCATTAATTTAAGGATGTCTTAAAACGAAATAAGAATCTCCTCACCTCCAAAACTTCCAAAGGCAACAGTAAATTATCTGAAGGAACATACCACTCTTGAATTCACAATTTTGACTTCTAAGAAATGCTAACAGCAGATTCAGCTTTCAACTCTACTGATGTGACACTGTATTGCACTTACAAGTGTCCTTACCTAATATCCGCACTCACATTGCATAACTGAAAGTAACTTAAGCTATTACTCTGCACCAAGTGCATCATAGTTTGGTTTGTGTTTGAAAAGGAGCTACCATTAAAACCTTGTAATTTCCTAGGCTTCTCTTTTGCCTTGAAGAGCCAGGATACAAAGAACAGATATTTTAGGTTATATTCTTTTTTATCAAAGTAAGTTTTGCACATCTCCTAGTGTGGGACACAAACACACAGAGACACACATATTTAATCTGAGTACAGTATTAATTTTGAAAGCTAGTGAAAAATCATTAGGAAAAAAATACCTTCAAGGCAAAGGCAGAGTATGCACAACTAGAAGCAGACAGAAGCTTATTGTGCTGCATCTATTAACGTCAGCCAGAACTTCACCACAGTAGCAACAGAATGCAGGTCACTACTGACAATTGAAGTTGGCTAGTTTTGCTAATAATTCTGTAGCTCTTAATAGTAGAATTAAAACTAAAGTAGCAAAACTTCCAATCCACACGTAAGGGATTAAGTGATTTTTGTAAGTTTCTGATGTAAAGCTTTCAAGAAATGTTTTTTCAGTTTAGCTCACAATCATTCTCTCACTCCCAAATGTACTTGCTCTGCAGGAACTTTGGCTCGATGATACTGAGGAATTCAGACAACTAACACTATGGAAATTATAGGTCTTGATCACAAATTACTGGCTTTAAGTTTAATTTATACTTTGGTGCTGGGCTCATAAACTCTGGCATAATCCTCAATAAAAACAGGCAGCATTAAGGGCCCAGGCTAGTATTTTTCATTTACAAATAGTATGAAACTCACAGTTTTATCAGACACTGCACTCAACACCTAATGTCTGAGTACAAATTAGGGTAGCAGACAAAGAGCAGTGCAACATGGTAGATGGGATATTTCTATAACAAACAAGCAGAGCATGATCAGCTTTTAAGTTAAGGTTAGGAAGTCAAAGAATATTTAAGGCTGAACTTTCAAAAGACATTCTGAGGTTTTATGTGTAAGTTACACTATTGGTTCCATATGCTGTGGAAAAAAAACATACAGGCATTCTATTATATAGAATTTCTGTGATACTTGAAAAAGTTATATCACAAATTACTAATAAATTAATATATTCCACTTTTTCCCTTTGGTTTATGCTTTCTTGCAAAGATTGACAATACATTTATTTTCTTGCAAACCACATATTGGTGTTCAAGGCCAGGCTGGACGAAGCTTTGAGCAACCTGATTGAGTTATAAGGTGTCCCTGCCCATGGCAGGGAGGGTTGGGACTAGATGATCTCTAAGGTTCATTCCAACCCCTAAATTCTATGATTCTATGATTCTATGATATGGAGTAGGAATAATAGAAACACGGATTCCACCATGCTGAATCAGACCAGTACTTGAACTAGCCCAATATTTTCATTTTAAAGTGGGATATTATTTCCTCTGGGTTTGACAGAAATGCAAGGAACCACTCTAACACAGCACTCAGAGTCACAGCTGTATATCTACACTTCATCTTAGATTTAATACAATATCCCTAATCATCTTATTATTTGGTTTTCTCATATTCAGAAATTTTTATTCTTGCTGTTCCTCATTTGAAGAGCAGTGAATTCAGGACTCAAAACAGGAAAAGATCATCAATTTATGTAATGGCATTGTTTCTTTTCATAGAATCATAGAATGGTTTTGTTTGAAAGGGACGTTAAAGATCTTTTAAAGATCATCTAGTTCCATCATCCCCACTATATGCAGGGACATCTTCCATTAGACCAGATTGCTCAGAGGCCCATCCTACCCTTCATGTAATCATACACATCACCCACAAAAGCCAATTTCATTTGCATTTACCATGTCTCTTAGTCTTGACTGCCATAAGTCTCGACTGTCTTAGTTTGTCTCCAAATTCTTACTCAAGACGAACTTTTTATTTTCATTGTTGTCAGGCATTTTTTCCAGGTCACTAATCAGTACTCTGAACACCACCTACCTTAGCAGATCTTTCAGGCACCCTGTTATCAGCATACCTACTTTACAACATGGCAATATATTACTCTCTGTTTGGAGATCAGATGAACAGGTAACAGAGCCACAAGAGCTGACTGTGCTCATCTGCTCTGACTTACATTATAAGACACAAACGTTCCTTCAGTCAATCCCAGTTTGCTCTAACATGTCATTTAGAAAAGCCTTTAATCTTGATTTACAGATTTCAGTGATGAAGAACAACAGCTCTTGGTAAACTGTTCCAAAGGTTAATGACCTTTGGAGTTAAACAAATGGCTGTTTATTTCTGCTCTGGATGTGTTCAGTTTAAAGTTTGATCCATTTAAATTTATTATTCCTATGTTTGTAAGTCCTTTATTATCCAATTCCCATTGCTTTGCTCAGGTCAGTGTTTAACTTCTTTCTAATAAGAAAAGAACCAGGTCTTTGAAGCACTCAAGAGAGGACACATTTTACAAACTTCCAATCATTTTTCTCTGCTCTTCTTTGAAACTTCTAATTCATCCTCAGTACTCTTTCAAGTTATGATTATCATCAAATATAACATAGCAAGCAGACCCATGCTGAGCACAACAGTCTCATATGGGTATTGGTTTATGCACCCAAGGATCACATTTGGTTTATGCATCCAAGGATCACATTAATTCTTTTGTGAACAGCATTACATTGGAAGTTTACATACAGCTGATTCACCAGTAAAGTCTTCTGTAGTTATCATGTCTTCCAGAATGAGAGGAGGGGAAGGGAGTAGGGACAGGTATTTTGCTTGTTATAAATATTCTGATTGTTCTCCTTCATTCTTTACTATTCCCCACTCTGGGTATAATCTCTATCAGTAAGTACATTATGTTTTCTTCTAGATCATTTAGCCTTGAGAAGAGGCAGCTCAGGGTTGACCTTATGCCTCTGCAACTACCTGACAAGGGGCTGTAGAGAGGTGGGGGATGGTCTCTCCTGCCACACCTGAAGTGAGAGGACTAGAGGAAATGGTCATGAACTGAAATGGGAGATTCAGACTAGAAGTTAGGAAAACTTTTGTCACTGTGAGGGTGTTCAGGCACTGGAATAGATTTGCCCAGGGAGATGGTGGAGTCACCATCCCTGGAGGTGTTCAAGAGGCATCTGGATCTGGCACTGGAGGATATGGTTTAGCAGTTACTGCAGTGACAGGTTAATGGTAGGACTTGATGATCTTAGAGGTCTCCTCCAACCTTAATGATTCAATGATTCTGTGGTGGTTAAAGTAGCATAAATTACTACTTGGCCTTTTCTAGTATACTTGAGCCTAAGTGAGCTCACCTGTATCCTTTCCTGTGTGGCAAGCTCAGCCTGACTGTATGACTCAAAATACAGTCATAGTTCCAGTATGAGGGATATCTCCCTCTGCCCCAGCGCTTTGGCATGAGGACCTGTGAAAGGGTCTGCTCTAAGGTATCCTTTCCAAGACTTCTGATCTTCCTTAAATGCCTTTTTGAAGAATTTTTCAAGTAAGTTTTTGGAAAAAGGCAAAGAATTCTGATTAAAAAGAGACAATTACTTTTTACTGCAACTATGAAGTTTATCCTTAGTATGTTTACTCATACTACATTGATTTAATTGTTTTACAACTTCCTCTAATTACTGTTTCAGCTGATGTGATATGCTACATATAAAGCTATACACCTTAGGTCTCCTTCAGATAAGGGAAGCAAAAGTTGGAAATAATGTAATACAAGCTCCAGTTTTCAAAAGAAAATGTTACAGCCACTAAGTAAAAGGCTCTAGTGAATAAACCCTGACATATCATTCTTCAGGAAAGAGTAATTTCTTACCATTATGAACGATAACTCTGTATTTTCTGTCCAAGCAGAGGTCCATCTGCCTTTGTCTGACAATTTTCTGTGCCTCTGGAGGCAATCCCTTGGGGTCCCGGGAGAACACAAAGGAGTAGCTATCGGCACAAGTGCCATCTGCATTGAGCTGGCGGCAGGAGTAGTGAAGAGCATATGTCTCATAATCTGTGTCCACTACCCAGTGGTCATCATCTGGAAGAAACCATAGCAAAGAAGCAAAGGTGTTAGAGACACAAGTGAAATCTAGTCTATCAGAAGAGATTCCTGCCATAACTCTGTGAGGAAAATACTAAGATGAAGCTCAGCAAAATGGTAACAGATTAGCTCTTAGTTTACTCCTGTGTCCAGTATTTAATTCCATATTTTGGCAGAAGTTGCTTGGGTTTTTTTAAAAAGAAAATAAATATATTTAGCAGGGAACATGCTAACCCCTGCTCCAGATGACTCAAAACTGTAACTATTTTCCTAAGAGGAAGGTTACTTGAACTGCATTTTTAAGGAAAAAGATTATCATGCAGTTTGCACGTGTGTTAGAAGTGTATTTGCTACAAGTTCCATCATAAACCCTCTTCTGAAAACACAGTTACAATTTCAGAGAATCTTTAACTATTTAGCTAGGTAACCTGATAAATATCTGGTCACACAGACGCCCTGTGCTAACAGAAGTAAATCTAGGTGTTTGCAGTAAAATGTGTCATATCTGCACCTTCCTCTCCTGGAGCAAAAGATTTTCCCTTGCACTACATCTGCACTGGTGAAGGCAACACTATGTTCTCTTCCTCTTCTCTCCTGTGGGTGGGAACCAGACTTTCTAGAAAGGTAGAGTCTGGGGTCAGTCAGCAATCTGAAGGATCCATGATTCAGCGACATGCTGTGAGGAGACCTGGCAACAATTTAGGAGCAATTGGCATCCAAAACATTGTTTGCAACTGTGTCTTTGGAGGGAATGAAGCTCCTGTCACTTCCAAATTCCACCTGCTTCTCTTGGAAAAAAGCCAAGGAAATGTCTTGAGTTGCAAAGCATCTGAATCTGTACTTGGCTCAAGGAACTAATTTTGCATAGGGTGTGACAGATGACAGAAAAATATGAATATATATAGAATCATACTTGTCTCTTAAAACACAAATCTCTACATTTGCAGACACAAGACCAGACAAAATAACAGTTGCTAAATCAACTCTTCCTTGCTTGGCCAGGTCTGACTTTAGGCTTTTCAGAAAGAACAGAAGCATCTGGTAACTGATTCCTGAACTAAAACAAGTCTTATAATGCTTCATCTGCCTTTCCTTTCTTACCAAACAGTGACCTTCACTCATATTGTTGGGTAACAAACAAAATAAATACAAAGATATACAAAGGCCTGGTCTTCACTTGTTTAAAGAAAGCCAACCAGCTGTCCCATATAAAAAAGTGATTACCTTGCTCACATCCAGGTTTGCTGTATGACAGTTATTATATCTTTTAAGAGTGTTTAAGAAATCCAACAATATAACTTCCTTCCCCATCATGAGCATACAACATAATTAGGCTTCCAAGTAGTCCTATATCTTCTATAGCTGTTACTCACTTCCTTTCTGCAGAAAAGAGGCAACACCCCAGTACTTCATCTTGAACTTGGCAGGATCCTCTGTGTCAGTGAAAGAGCCAATCATGTCAGCACAGACATCCCAGTTACTGTGGCCAGAGACAAAGAGAATGTGATGTTCAAACCTCACTGCACAGATTCAGTGTGACTGGGATAGCACAGGGGGAGCAGGTAGGATTGGAGCACCAGTAAGCAAAAGCTTAGTGAAATGAAAAAGAGGAAACAGCTTACTTGAAGAGTCTGACTCTGCCCTTTGCAGTGGCAGTCATTTGTCCATTCTCATCTACAGTGAAGCGAGCTACCACATTGTCCTGCAGAAACAGCCCCTCTGGATCTTTCTTTGCCATGGCATACCAGGTACCACTGTACTGCAAGGACATAAGAAAGGCTGCAGTTAGACCTAGAAGAATGGAAACATCACAAACAGGCACTAGAGGAGGTGACAGAGGGAAGGGCATGCAGATCTTTGACACCATGCCTCAAAGCTGGGCCTAAGAAGCAAATCTAGCTATTTCAACATCATAAACCCACCAATACATCCTAGTACAGTCAGGGTTTGTGGAAGTATTGACATTTTTTTGGTTGTCTGCAGTTCTTCGGTATTAGGAATACAAAACTTGGTGGGAAGAGGATAACAACTAGCAGATCTTGACAGATCTATGTATATATCCTTTCTTCCTTGCAATGATGTCTGAAAACACCAGAGTATTAATTTTTCATAGAAACAGCCAAGTCACTAGACTCCTTTTGTTTAGACCATACAGTCTGAGACCAAGCTGCTAAACCTCAGCTCCTAAAGTATTCCTTTATCAGGTGCCTCAGGATCCAGCACCTATGGAGGTGTAGGCAACGTCACACACTTCTGCTGTTTCTCAGTATTGCAGTCTGTGACTCTGAGTGAAAATCTGAACACACTGGTACTACTGAATGCCGAATTTTGTAGCCTGGGAAGAGGAGCTAGGCAAGACATCACAGATCCAGGAGAGAAAGATTTACCCTGTTCTTGTCGAAGTTCTCCTTGACTTTGAAGCTGCTCACTCGGCAGTCTCTCTCCGCGGTGCTGCTGCCCAGCAAGGCCAGTGCCAGCAGCAGCAGCCAGGACAGAGCTCTCTCCGTGTGGGGCATCCTGTCCCTGCAGCAAACAGAGAATAGCATCAGAAACAGGCTCTGTCACACAAGCGAGGGAGGGAGGAAGGCTGCCCTGACAGGTCTCCAGGGCATCATGCAGCTTCCCCTGGTGCATGTGCAGGCAAGGCTGTCCCCAGCCCACAACAGCAGAGTCCCTTACAGACAGTGCTTGTCCCTGTAGCCTCCTGAGAGCCCAAGTGTTGCTGGTGGTGCTGGAGCTGCCAGACAGGGAATGCTTTATGTAGCCCTGAGGCTTTCGCAATCCCCCGAGCTACAAAGCCAGCACTGGAGGGGGATAGGGAGGTGGGTTGATGCAGCTGCAGCCTGGGGCCCCTTCACAACAGCCTCTTGCATAACACACGTGGGCTCAGGTGGTCTTTGACCCTGATGTGCAGCCAAGCAGATGCTAGGAGCAAATGCCTCTCTGCTTTTCCTAGCCCAAAAGCAGAGCTCACACCTGGGGGATGGGGTGTGCAGGTGTGTGGGAGCAAATGAAAGGACAGGCACCCCATCTTCACATGGGGGAGAGTGAATTGCCTCCATATCTCTGTGGTTTTACACACTGCAGTCCAAACCCTTCCTTACCCAACATGTTCAACCCAGTTACAAGGTGCAGACTTGTTTCCTCCACAAAATCCTTTCCTCTTTTCTCCTGATAAACAGCAGCAAACATAACACTTGCAAGTTTCTGTCAATGTTCCTGAAAATCTGGTCGTGCCAGAACCTTTTCAAGTCCTTATGACTGATTCCCTCTTGCTCTCAAAAGGCTCTCTTGGGTGCTAAATCATCTCCTGACCTGCTCCCAGCAACAGGAACTGGGGACCTGCAGCTCTTCAGGAAGGTGAAAAACCCCTTTTGAGGGAACTGCAAAGGCAGCAGGACCTAAGTGAGGTCTACAAATACCCAGGTGCATGTAGAAACCACATCTGGCCCTTTTGCCATCAATTTTAAATGAGATATTCCATCATTCTATTCTGGTTTTGGCAAACTGTTTTCAGTTATATAAACCATTATTTTCTCCTGTCCAGGCAAGTTTTGCTGCCTCTCAGTCAATATTTGTTCTCTAGTTACAACATCTTTAGGAAGCATTAGAGAAAACCTGTTAATTATTTCCCAGGCATGTAACCAGAGCAGGATAGGAATGATTGTTAGCAAGAGAACTGATTCACCTACTTTTTTCACCTCCCAGTTTTGAAAGAATCAAGGCAGGAGCTTGTTATTTGAAAGGTCTGTCTTCATCACTTTAAAAATTAAGCAAAAATATAATTTAAATATGGAGACATCAATATAACATAAAATGTACTTCAATAATAGGTGCTATACAAAATTAAACCAATTTATTCAGCATGGCCTTTCCCAGAAATTTACTTCAGTCTTCTCTTCCTTTCATAAAAATATTCATAAAAATATTAAACTTTTTGCTGTTGCTGTCCTTTATGTCTTTTCATATGTGATGCAGTCTGTTTATCTTGCTTTCCTGCTTTGTGTTGGAACCTTTTTGCATAGAGAGTATGTTTTTACTCACCTTCTAAAACATCAGTTGCTCAGAGCTGTTCCAAGTGCGCGCTGAAACCTTTGATTTTCAGGATAATATCAGACACTAAAAATTTCATTCTGTTTATTATTAAGCTTCTATTTGGAGTAAAGAACATATTTATCACAGAGAATTAGAAAGGTGAATGAATATTAATTGTCCTGAAACTTTTAACAGCAGCTTTTCAATAAGTTGCCATTTCCATTTTTAAACTGAGATATTCAAGTTTGCTAATTCCTACAGAGACTGAAGCGAAACAGTAATTTATATCCTTCTGGTATCTTCTAGATCTTGTTCCACTCCCTGGCAATGGTGATACCAGTGATATATAAAGCCTCTCTATAAAGCTTTTACAAAACACTCATTAGTCTTAATATATGAATTCGTCGTGCCTACAAGATCAAAATCAACATGGATTTGCTTTGTTCAGTGTTTCACATGACTAATAGCAATAAGATGAACTATAGTTTAATTTGCAAGCTTTAAATCTATTACTTTAATACCAAAGAAAATAATTATTTCTTTATTCACTGCCAAGTTGTGAAATATAATAATTTCTCTAAGATGGTACTGTTCAAAAATCTGTATACTGCTCTATATTACCAGAGAGGTCCTTGCAGGGTCAATTCATAGAATCATAGAATTTTAGTGGTTGGACTAGACCTTACAGATCATCTAGTCCCAACCCCCTGCCCTGGGCAGGGACCCCTCCCACCAGAACAGGTTGCTCAAGGCTTCAGCCAACCTGGCTTTGAACACTGCCAGGGTTGGGGCAGCCACAGCCTCCCTGGGCAACCTGTGCCAGTGTCTCACCACCCTCACAGGAAAAACATTTTCCTAATATCTAGCCTAAATTGCCCCTCTTTCAATTTGTACCCATTACTCTTTGTCCTGTCACTGCAGTTCCTAATACAGAGTTCCTCTGCAGCTTCCCTGTAGCCCCTTCAGATCCTGGCAGGTTGCTCTGAGGTCTCCACACAACCTTCTCTTCTCCAGACTGAGCAGCCCCAACTTCCTCAGCCTGTCTTCATAGGGGACATGCTCCAGTCCTCTTAGCAACTTTGTGGCCTCCTCTGAACTTTCTCGAACAGGTCTATCTAACAAATCTATTCCTATAAAATTTTGTCAATAACATAATTATCCATGAAAATCCCCATGAACTGGGGCCAGGATTTCAGTTGATTCTGAGAGCAATGTGCATAGATCAGGTCAATGGCAGCAAAGGTTCTGGGAAAGCTCAGACAATGATATTTAAAATAGTTATTAAAATACTGATAATAAACAAGCAGGCAAATAGACTCTGATGTAAAGGATACATTTACCAAACTTGTGCTAAGTTCAACACCAGGTCTGATAAATTCCATACATGAATTCTGATGCTTGAAGCTGACAGCATAGTTTGAATATCATAGAAGGATTTTTAAAAGTCAGTATGTATTTTTTTGAACCACATTTCATGGAAGGGAAAGAAAGTCTTCTACTTTTGAATTTTGCCAAGAGGACAAAAAAGGGCCTAACTTCTGGCAGTGATTCTGTGACCAAAATTTTTCCTACATTAGAATGTAAAATTTCTGCAGTATTTCCCATTAGGAATAGCAACAGAAAATACAGAGAAAAGGGCAGATTATCAAAGGAAATGGCAGAAGAAACACCTTTATTTGTAGAGGTTATTTTAGCTTCATTTATGACTTTAAAAAAACAAAGGAAGAAAAGAGTCAAAATTTCTATTTAGAATATTTTTAACACTGCAACATTTAAGCTTTAAATATTAAAAGAACTAGAATTTTGTTTGTGGTCACAAGAATAAGTTTGGCTCTTAGGAGAAAGTTGGCTCAAAATCTTCTAGTAGGAGATGGAACATCCATTTCCATCCAGGCTGCACATAGACTGAAAGACTTTTTGCTATCTTCTTAGGGTTATTTATTCATAGAATGCCATTCACAAACATGGGTACCCATTAAACTTTTCAAGGCAGATTTTGCAGGTGAATGAATGATCACTGTGTGCATAGAGCAGTGGATGCAAGTGTAGCCACTGCCCTGAAAACAGATTCATGTCAACAAGTGACAACAAATGGCCTGAGCTGAGCCAAGGAGCTCTGTGTACTTTGTAAGGGACAACTACGTACACTGTCACCATCACAACTGTTCCCCTTGGTGGCAGTCTGAGTACAGAGGTCAAGGACAGAATGGAATAGGAAAGATTGGCCTTTGCTCTATGTCATTCTCTTTGCTACCTGTTTTTGTAATTTAATGATGTGACATTCAGTTTAGGGAGTAAATTTACACTGAACCCTTTATAAACAGCATTTGCTAACAAACCTGGTACTTTGATTTTCTTTAGCAAATCTTTCTGAGGGCTGTGATTCTGAATTGAAATGTTTGTCTGAACATATTGCTAAAAAGCTGTAAAGTTTGCCAACAGGCTGACCAGCCAGGTGAGAAGAGCTCTAAACTGGGAATGATGAAAGACAGAAATGCTGGAGTGAGTCCAGCAAAGAGCCACAAAGATCACTGAGCCATAAGAGAATCTGACAAAAAGAGAGGCTGAGAGATTGGGAGGGTCTTACCCTGTATATAAATATCTGGCAGGACAGCATGAAGAAGACAAGAGTCAGACCCTTCTCAGTGGTGCTGAGTGATATTCTCAGTAACAAAAACTGGTCAGGTAACCTAAGATCAGCAGGGAGTAAATGTGAGAACGGCTGAGATGAAAAAGCTGCTGCCCTTTGCTCAGTATACTAAAACTCATGCTAAGCTATGAAGAAACCCATGGTTTTGGTCAAAGCTATAGTGCATCTGGCAACCCAGGTTTACCTCTTCATGCTAGACGGTCCATTTACTCCAGGAAATCTCCCCTGGAGTCTATAATTCCTGTTGACTACTTATTTGCAGCTGTATGGGGAAAAAAAAAAAGCAGTTAACTTACTATCTTTAATGTTTACGTTTTAAGATTGCTTATGTAAGAAAAGGGATAGAAAATTGTTGTAAAACACACATAAAAGTTGAGGATGTTTATAAAGGTCCCCCAAACATACCAGATCAGTGACGCCAAAACATTTCAGTGCCAAACCTGGCTGTGTTGGGGTCACACAGTACCTACAAATCCATTCTCACAACCTCATAATGTAGAAAAAAAATCAATAATATTTCAGCATATTAATTTCTTGGATTATACATATGAATCTGTGATGTCCTGACAGTGACCACAACAGTATCCACATCAAAAGCCATGCAGTCAAAATGAACACATTAGATCTGTGTTTCTTCAGATCTTAGCTGAATAAACCACATTAACTGCTGTCAGGATGGACAGAGACTCTCAGATACAAACACTGAGCTGAACTGGGAAACCTTATAAATGCCTTTGACATTTACGTGCTGCTTGAACCTATTTAAATAACCACGTCTGTCAGTTATCCTTCTTAGGAGTTTCCATGTATCACAAGGGCTCAGGAATGGTCTACTACTAAGAACTACTCCAAAAATAGTTCAATTTCTGCAGTAACTCTGAACGTCAAAGGCAAACGACATTGTATGCATTAAAATTACACACAGTTCTGATATTCTCTGAGATTAAAACAGTTTGAAAAGTTACACCTGCTCTTCATGTTTTTATATCCAACAATCTCAGCATGAAAAAGAGTCAGCC